TAGAATCTTTCCAGAGACCATTAATATGTATTATCTACTTGAACTATCCTAGCAGGCTCTCCTATAATTCTAGTTTTCAGACAGGCAGGATAGGGGTTGTTTTTTGAAGATATGAACAACTAAGCAGTGTACAAAGTACTGTGATAGGTAATGTGGAAGACACAAAAATCAGGGGCTCCATCTTATGGGAATGCCATAAAGTAGAGGGTACAAATGTTTATAATTGTTTCAACATGTTGTTCAATAAGAACACTAGTAGAAATAAAAAGTGCTACAGAAACTACAGAGTGGAAGGGCTTTATGATTCAGAAAACTGAGGAAAGCCTTGATATTTAATGAGGAACATTCAAGTTGGGCTTTGATGGACAGAAAAGAACATTCTACATCAGGGAACAAACCGCATGAGCAAAAAGGTTCAGAAATATAACACATGTATATTATGCAGTTTAAAGCTTCTAAATTTTACAGACACGCAATGAAAGGTCATGGTCTGAAGTCTTGTATTCATGTATGAAAATGACAAGAATTATAACAGCTTCAAAGAAAACAAATATATCACATATATCCCTCCATATTCTTCTCTTAGCTAATAAGTATTCCTGGGGACATCCTCAGCTGCCAACAGCCCATTAGATAAATTAACCCACTGACAAAGAGATCTAGCAATCACTGTAAGATATTAAATTTTAGGCTCAGTGCAGTGGTTCACACCTATAATCTCAGCACTTGGGGAGGCCAAGGAGGAAGAACTGCTTGAGCCCTGGATGTTGAGGCTGCAATGAGTCATGTTCACACCACTGCACTCCAGCCTGGGCAACAGAGCGAGACCCTATCTCCAAAAAAAAAAAAAGACATTAAATTTTATTTCAAGGCTGGGCACAGTGGCTCACACCTGTAATCCCAGTACTTTGGGAGGCTGAGGCAGGTGAATCACCTGAAGTCAGGAGTTCAAGACCAGGCTGGCCAACATGGTGAAACCTCATCTCTACTAAAAACACAAAAATTAGCAAAGCGTGGTGGCGGGTGCCTGTAATCCCAGCTACTCAGGAGGCTGAGGCAGGAGAATTGCTTGAACCTGGCAGGCTGCAGTAGGTTGAGATTGTGCACTGAACTCCAGCCTGGACAACAGAGTGACACCCTGTCCCCCCAAAAAATTTTTTTTTTTTTTACTTCATACACTAACCACCAAATACGCTAGATCTTTAAATGTATTCTGATATATTTTAACCCAACAGGAAATACTCTACAAATGTATACTCTTAACAGTGGCACATACTCTAAAAGTGGTTTCACATGTATTTACTCATTCAATCCTCACAATGACCATATGAGACAGGCATGATTATTACTCCTATATTGTAGATGAGGAAACTCAGTCATAGAAAAGTGAAGTAAGCTGTCCACGCTGTCAAAGTAAATGACAGAGCCAGATTCAGACTTCTGTCTGGCTCTAGTCTGAGCTCTTAGCCAGTTTGTCTGTCTACCTACACACATACACATACACATACATACACACACACACACACACAGAGACACACACACACCCCCCTTAATTTAATTAATACTATACATATAATTTTGTGCTTGGAAAAAACCCACAAATTTTCTTCATAATGTAACACTGACTTTAAAACTTAAAAAAAAAGTGGTAAAATACACATACCATAAAACTTACCATCCTAGCTATTTTTAAGGCACACAGTTCAGTAGTGTTAAGTACAACCAACTAGAACTCTCTTCGTCTTGCAAAACTGAAACTCTATACCCTTTAAATAACTAACTCCCATTTCCCCGGCAACCACCATTCTACTGTCCGTAGATTCCAAAAATAAGTAGGACATAAATTTAACAATCTTAGGTACATAATACTGACTTTTAACGCCTGGAAATGGTTCTATTTAGTGGATACACTATAATTATATTTTAATATGTTTTGATTATCAAAGATGAATGTGTGCTTTTTCTATTTCTTCTTGTATGAAATGTTCATGTTGATAAAAAGTTTATAAACTTGAAGCATGATACATAGTAACATTTGACAACATTCTTCTTCAAACACATTAGTTCTTATCTTAATAATTTATTTTGATTTTTTTTTCTAAAATATACTTTTTGAGGGGGGTGGTAGGGTCTTGCTCTGTCATCCAGGCTGGAGTACAGCGGTGTGATCAGAGGGAGAGCAAACTGTTTTTCTTTTTCTTTTTTTTTTTTTAAGACAGGGTCTCGCTCTGTCACTCAGGCTGGTGTGCGATGGTTGTGATCATAGATCTTCCAGCTTTAACCTCCTAGGCTCAAGCTATCTTTCTGCCTCAGCCTCCTGACTAGCTAGGACAACAGACGTGTGCCATCATGCTGGGTAATTTTTTATTTTTTGCAGAGATGGGGGCTTGCTATTTTGCCCAAGATGGTCTCAAACTCCCAGCCTCAACCAATCCTCCCACCTCAGCCTCCCAAAGTGCTGGGATTACAAGTATGAGCCATCACACCTGCCCCTAGAATATACTTTTTAAAGAAAATCTGTATTTCTGAACAATTTGTATATACTTTGAATATTAATTTTTATAATTGAGGTCTGCTTAAGGCAGGGTACAATTTTGTGTTAAAAAATTTAAAATTCCATTGTCAATTAAAAGACACATCAAAATCCAGAAACCAACATGGTAGAACATGGTAGATTGAAAAAGGAGGGGGAAATGATAACTTTTTTTTTTTTTTGAGACAGAGTCTCACTCTGTTGCTAGGCTGCACTGCAGTGGCAAGATCTCAGTTCACTGCAACCTCCACCTCCTGCGTTCAAGCCATTCTCCTGCCTCAGCCTCCCAAGTAGCTGGGACTACAGGAGCCAACACGCCTGGCTTAATTTTGTATTTTTAGTAGAGATGGAGTTTCACCATGGATCAGACTGGTCTCAAACTCCTGACCTCGTGATCTGCCCACCTCAGCCTCCCAAAGTGTTAGGATTATAGGCATGAGCCACCGCACCCAGCAATGATCGAATTTTAAAACTGGGTAAGACTAAACTTCAATGAGTACTAAAACTAAAGAAACACAAGAAATAACAATAAACATTGAAATGATTACTTTTGAGCAGAAATGATGAGAAAGTCATGATTAGATGTATATACAGAAGGGGCTGCTAGGGTAGCTATCAAAGTTTTATTTATATATTGTTTATATTTTCTAAAGGAAGGATCTCAGTCTGTCACCCAGGCTGGCGTACAGTGGTGCAATCACTGCTCACTGTAACCTCAAACTTCAGGGCTCAAGTGATTCTCCTGCCTTGGCCTCCCAAGTGTTGCTAAAACTATAGGCATGTGCTATCACACCCAGCTAATTTTCCTACTTTTTGTAGTGACAAGAGTTTCTCATGCTCAAAGTTTTATTTTTTGACCAAACTGTGGTTGTAAGGATGTTAGCCTTACAATAATTCATTCAACTATAGATTATTTATTTATTATTATTTTAAAAAATTTATCTAAGTAAACCAGCACAGGAAGCTACAGATTTGTTAATGCTGATTTCTGTATCTGTATTTTACTTTATAATAGGAAGGTTAAAATAAAAAGTCTGTTAATTCCATTCTTTGAGTAGTCTGAAAATGTTAAATTTTCCTTTAGTTAAAATCACATAAATGACTAAAAATTATAGTTACAAAATCAAGACAAATATTCATAGAAAAATGAAAAGTAGTATTACTCCAAAGAGTTTTAATAATGTTCTAAAAATATGCAGTCTATGTTAACATAAGCTAATGTTGACAGATCAGTGAGACAGAAAGTTAACATCGATATCCAGGACTTGAACTCAGATCCGGAACAAGTAAACTTAATTAACATTTACAGAACTCTCCACTTTAAATACACAAAATATACACTCTTATCAGTACCACATCACACCTATTTACAGATTTAAATGAAATATTGGTTGGCTGCTTGTAAGTTATTTTCTTCCCTCATTTTTTTTTCATGTCTCTATTATTAAACACAATTATAGGCATACCCATTTTTAGACTGCATTCTAGCCCGGGCAATAAAGCAACACCCCTGTTCTCTCTCCCTCTTCCTCT